TAGTACTGAAACAAGAGATCAATTGTTTTGAACTAAAATAAAAGAGCAACAAGCTCTCATAGCTTAGTTGGTTAGACTACCTGCTTAGTAAGCGGAGGTATTGCTTTCGACTCTCAATGAAAGTATTTTATTTTTTATATTTTTATATTTCGCCTTGGTTGTATTCGTTGCGCGGATGAATAGCATAATGAATACAATTGATACAGATTGTATTTACAGTTGACACATGTTGTATTCGTTGCGCGTATGAATACAAGTGATATAAGTTGGTAACAATTGAACAGTAACTGCGAATTGTAATTATGCAAACTATAATTATATATAATAATTAGGCTGTAAACTGTGATGTTTTATGAAAATTCCTTAGAAAAGAATATGTGGCTCAATAAATTTTAAAAAAAAGTTTATTCAAGAACTGGACCTTATGGCTTATAGTGAACTTCAAAAAGTCCAAAGCCACAAACTAGACCGACCCGGTTTATCCAATGGGTGAACCAGTTACGTGGCCTTATCTAAACTCACTATGTTATCCAATAAGAATCTATAACTAGATTTATACAAAAATAGTACCAACCCCTCAACATCAACTGCTAATATTTTCCATACCATACCTTCATATTTTCATGGCTTATGCTCATTTTCTCAGTCTACAAACAAGAATAACAGGTACATCTTTCTCTTTTTAATTAAATTCAAGATGATTTCTATATTACAACTGAGAGATCACGAACGAAAATAAGGACAGTGAGAATTGAACGCACACCTATAGAGCATAAGATTTGAACTAACTACCTAATACTAACCAAATGACTAGAATTATTTCAGCTGAGATTTTTCCTTATTGCCCCTTTTTCTCCAATAACCTAAAGCCAACATCTCAATCTCAAAAGCACAATTCTATTGTTAGATGTAGTAGACATGAATCCAGTAAAGTAAAGCCTAGAAATAACCAAAGGGTTAAAGTTTCTACTGAAAATAGACATTCCTATGTACAACAATCCAATGATTTGAGAGCAACCAATTTTTTGAAAGTGCTAAATTGGTCTTGTAAAGTAGGCAAGTATGATGAAACGTTGTATCTTCTTGATTGCAAGGTGAAGAATAATGGTTATAAACCAGATGTTATTCTTTGCACTAAGCTTATTAAGGGATTCTGCAACTCGAAAAATACGGACAAAGCATTAAAAGTTATGCAGATTTTAGAGCAATTTGGGGAACCTGATGTATTTGCATATAATGCTCTTATTAGTGGATTTTGCAAAATGAATAAAATTGTAGAGGCAAATAAGGTGTTGAATCGGATGAAATCCCACGGATTTCCTCCGGATGCTGTTACTTATAATATCTTGATTGGAAGTCTTTGTGATCGGGGGAAATTAGGGTTAGCATTGAAATTGTTGGATCAGTTAAAAGAAGAAAAAAACTGTAAGCCTACGGTTATTACATATACAATCTTGATAGAGGCAACAATTCTTGAAGGCGGAATTCATGAAGCAATGAAGCTTCTCGATGAGATGTTATCGACAGGGCTTCAACCCGATATGTATACTTATAATGCAATTATAAGGGGAATGTGTAGAGAAAAGATGACGGATCAAGCTTATGAGTTTGTTAGGAGTTTGCCATCTAAGGGTTGCAAACCGGATGTGATTTCTTATAATATATTGTTAAGGGCGTTATTGCATAAAGGGAAATGGAGCGATGGAGAGAAGCTAGTGAACGAGATGTTTTCTGCAGGGTGTGAACCAAATGTGGTTACTTATAGCATTTTGATGAGTTCTTTGTGTAGAGATGGGAAATTAGACGAGGCGATCAACTTGTTGAAGATAATGATGGATAAGGGATTAACACCCGATACTTTCACTTATGATCCATTGATCTCTGCATTTTGCAAAGGAGGGAGATTAGATTTGGCTATTAAGTTCCTCGACTATATGATTTCGAATGGTTGCTTGCCTGATATAGTGAACTACAACACTATACTTTCTACAATGTGTAAGAAAGGGAAAGCTGATGAAGCAATGGAAGTATTTGAGAAGCTCGCGGAAATAGGCTGTCCACCTGATGTGAGTACTTATAATACAATGATGAGCGCGTTATGGAATAACGGAGAGAGAGCTAGGGCGTTGATATTGGTTCCGGAGATGATAGAAAAAGGGATTGATCCTGATGAGATTACATATAATTCACTTATCTCGTGTTTATGTAGAGACGGATTAGTGAACGAGGCGCTTGACTTGTTAGTAGATATGGAAGGGAATGGTTTTCCACCTACTGTTATCACTTATAACATTCTGCTTCTTGGATTGTGCAAAGCTCATAGAATTGACGAGGCGATTGAAGTGCTAAGAGAAATGGTAGAAAAGGGGCGTCGGCCAAATGAAACGACTTACATTCTGTTAATTGAAGGTATTGGTTTTTCAGGATGGAGAGTTCAAGCAATGGAGGTGGCTAACTCTCTTTATCAGAAGAATGCTATATCAAAAGAATCACTTCAACGTTTGAGAAAAACGTTTCCTATATCTGATGTTTATAAAGATAGTACTGTCTCAGAAACCAGGAAGTAGTTTCTTGAATTAACGTTCAATACTGGAAAGGAAACCTTGACGTAATTGTTAAAGTTAAAGTTGATGTCATGTGACTAGGAGGTCACGAGTTCGAACCGTGAAAACAGGCTCTTGCAGAAATGTAAGGTAAGATTGCGTATCCGGGCCTTCCCCGGACCCCACACACAGCGGGAGCTTAATGCATCGGGTTACCCTTACTGTACAGTCCGAGCAATGTTCAATACTTGTACATCATTGACAGTAATAAAAGATTTCAGGCTTTTCTATATGCAGTTTTTACATACTATTCCTTAGACTAACAACTTTGTATTCATTTGCTGTATTTTTGCAGTCCAAAAGAGGAAAAAACCTCTCTTATATATGGCCAAATCTGGTGTTTTTTTTCATTTTTAGCCCGCGCTAGAAACTATTTATATTTGGTAGCTGAAAAAGTGTATAAAATTTATATAATTTTTGTATATAACATATAAAATGTGTGTGTGTATATATATATATATATATACTTTTTTGGCTATTATTTGAGAGTGGCTATACAATATCATTTTCCCAAAAAATAAACCGTTAATTGATTGAACATATCAATGTCTCCTCAACATATTAAAAAGGCAAGCAAATTGTATCATTCTATGTCTTCTTTAGGACTAATGGTTTCATTCTAAGAATGTTCTTTTTTGAGTTTTTGCTTTTCTATGGCTTAATTAATTCAGGAAAAAGAAAAAATTAAAGTACCTCGTACAAAAATAATGCGATGTACTGTTAAGTAATTTCAGCACCGCTACTTTCGTCAATAGTGGTACCTTTCAGTTCTTTAGTACGCGGGTTGCGACATTCGCACACGTTCCTATGTTACATTGTTGCTAATATTCTTTGTTACTTGGTGCTTTATTTTAATTGTTTCTTGAGCCGAAGGTCTATCGGAAACAATATTTCTATCTCTATGAGCTAAGGGTAAGGTTTGCGTACACAGTACCCTTCCCAGATCTAATTTATGAGATCAAACTCAGTTTTTTTTATTGTTATTGTTGTTGTTGTTTTGTTGGTACCTTTCAGCAATTTGACCAAAAGCCCCTCTCATTTATAACTACACATGGCATAACGGTAAAAGGTGAGCATGGTGAATTACTCATTTGTCCTTGATGTTGCCTATTGTGCTTCTTATGAAAAATGTCTTATGTGTAATTTCAGAAGGCAACCCTAAGCCATCAACCCGTATTGGGTTCGAGATTCTACTGTATCTAAGTTATTGAATTCTAAATTAATAGGTTCGTACATATTTAATAATTTTTTTAAGATAAATATTAAGTTTGAACGAAAATTACTAGATTCGATTGAACCCGTAACCAAAGGCGAAGCTACATAATTGAACATCCTTCATTGAAAAATTGCACTGTATATATAAGTAAAATATTAGATTTTAGAGGTATGTAGCATACATTGAACAATCTTTGTCAGAAATTATTTTTCACTTTTTTCAAGTATGAATACCTTGGACAAATTTCTAATTTCACCGTTGACCGTAACCAGTCTATTCTATGCGGCCTAAAGGTTTGCAATTGCAGTTTCTGCGCACTCAAATGCTATGCTACACACTAGTCATAACATAATTTTTTTTCTTCCTTGGACTATATAGTTGAACAAGTTATGACAGTAAGGAAAGCATAAGAATAATATGAAAATATGAGAAACTAATTAAAAGGAAAGAATTCCATATAAAATGGAATAAATAGAATATAATTTCGATTATTACATTGTCTCTTTTCCAACAGTCAAATAAACTATGGCAGGCTTCTTGTGGATTGTGTGAAACGAAGTTGGCTGGATAAAGGCATGGTGAGTGACATTCTTGTAAAGGTCCTAGCATCAATAATACATGAAAAAGGAAAAAAAGCTCAGATATATGCTAAGTTGCTCGAACATGAGTGCGAGTATCCGATACGGTTGCAGATTTAGAGGTCGAATCCTTTGAGATGTAAATTCTAAGATTTGGAATACAGATCCTAGTACGGATACGAATGCAGGGAGCCGGCTAAAAATAATTCAAAAAAATAAAAATCTAAAAATATCTCTAAATTATGAATTTTTTTGTGAAATACTTACGTATAACTTGTAAAGTCTGATTTTTTTATTTATTTTCAAGTTGTAGATATGTAGAGGTTTGATTTACTAGATAAGGTATGCTATTTTCTTTAAAATTACCCTAGTTTTGGTTCTGATTTCGAGAATCAATTTATATCTCGTCTCGAATTTTTACGTCCGGCGTGGTCAAAGTACTCAAAATTATTTGACCATATCCAGTACGGATCCCGTACCCACACACATACTAGTATCGTATCGAAACGGATGCGACACCTAAACTGACCTGTCAAAGCAACTTAGGGTATATGAACTCAATATGGGTAGTGATGATGGAAATACAGACAGCTAGAAAAGCTATATAAAAACTTTGGAATCTAAGATGTTAGAAGAATATAAATCCTTACAATAACAACATTATTCAGAAATTCCATAAGAGCATTGTACTATAACCTATGGTCACCAAGATATACTCATGGCACCTGATAAAATAGGCCTTGTATGCACTGAACCACAGCTACAGCCTTTTCTGTATAGAGAGGATTATGCCGCAATTAAAGAAGTCGCCATAGGAACTAGATTACAGATACTAGCCAAAACTCTGTCAAGCAGGTTCGCGACAGGGTCAAAATTTTACCGAGCACAAATTAGAACAGATTAAGGAAATGGAAAGAAACCTACTAAAAAAGTACATTTCCATTTGCGCTGAGGTGATACGTCATATGATGTAAAGAGCTGAGATAAGGATAGTGTCTGTCCAATCCGAGAACCTCTATTCCTCGAGATTTCTCATTCCCTCAACTTTTTCTGCGATTCTGAGCTGCTGCTTTGTTCATATCTGCACCAGCTATGCCCTCCAATTACAATGATCGAGCTGAGGATACTCATGTCTAATCTGAATATCTCTATTCCTTGAGAATTTTCCATTCTGTCAACTTTTCCCGCAATTCCATAGCTGCTTCATTCATACCTGCACCAGCTATTCCTGCAACTATAGTGGAAAAGACGGATGAATTAACCTTGTGCCGACTTGATATCATCATTTTCAACACTTGTATTGCAGAGTCCAGTTTACTGTTTTGACATAACCTGTGAATAATAAATCTGTAACAATTATCTCTGACCCTGCGTCTGCTATTACCCATCTCTTTTAGTAATTCTACAGCTTCTTCGATAAGATCTGCTCGACAGAAACCCCAAATTAGACATCTATATGTAACATCATCAGGACAAATGCCATCCTTTTCCATCCGATGGTATAATTCCATCGCTTTCTCCATAAAACCATTCTTTGCAAGGCCATCAATGACTATGTTGTAAGTGATTATACTAGGAGAACAACTGCTATCACCTAAACAGTGANAGAACAACTGCTATCACTTAAACAGTGAAGAATTTGGACGGCCTCGTCCACCATTGCCTCCTTACAAAGAGCACGTAGAAGTGTATTATAGGTTATTATGTCGGGTGAACAGTTTTGGGAGACCATCTGAGTAAAAGAATCAATTGCACGATCCAGAAGCCCATGCTTGCAGAAACCATTGATTAAAATATTGTATGTCACAACACTAGGAGGATGTGAAGTTTCATTCATGACGGAAAGAATCTCATCTACCTCGGTCCAACATCCATAGGTAGAAAGGGAATGGAGAAGAGTATTGTACGTCACATCATTGGGCTCAAGGCCATGTGACAGAAGGTTATAGATCAGTAAAGCCGAATCTTCAAACTTCCCTTGCTTAGAAGCAAAATTTACCATGGAATTAAAGGTCACAAGATCTGGAGAACATCCCTCAACTGCCAAATCCTCCATTACCTCAATAGCACGTATAACACCACAATGTTTGCAGACTAATTCAACCAGAATTGTACTGGTGATCGAATAAGGAGGACATCCTTTTCTTAACCGATCCTTCCAAAACTGAATGGCTTGATCATATTTACTACAGTCAAACATAGCACGCAGTATAGTATTATAAGTGATAACATCGGGAGGGCAACCGCTAAAGCTCATATAGTCCAAGAAACCAATGGCAGAATTCAAAACCCCTTTTCTACAGAGACCACTGACTAACATATTGTATGTGATAATATCTGGAGTCCCACCAGACATAACCATGATTTCTAGAACATTTGCTGCTTTGCCCGTCTGCCCAGCATTGACGAGGCCCCTGATCAAGTTTATGCAGGAAGGGCAGTCTGGAATTTGGTTTCGACGAGTCATCAGGTCAACTAATTTTGATGCTTCAAGCAACTTTCCATGACTGCAAAAACTTTTAAGAACTTTGTTGTTAGTTGTCTCGTCATTTTCAACCAACGGTCCATCTAAAGTCAACCTTAAGGAACTAGAAAGTTTCTTTAAATGTTGCTCATTTGATCTCTTCTCAACAATTCTATCTAAGCTCCCAGCATTACCCTCTTTAACTCTATCAAGGCAGACAGTTCCCTGCTTGCTTCTACAGAATAAAATCGAACCAGTTTTTCCTGAACCAGGAACTCCACGCCACTGTGGAGAAGATTGACAACTAAAGTTACTGCTAAATGAATGTCTTAACAGAATATCTGGAGTTTTTATTAGCAAGGACAGATTGCTCCCAGTTTGGAGGTCTATTTGGCTGGAGCTTGAGTTCTGTATGTGCAGGGCAGGAGCTTCAATCATCAGTTTTGGGACTAGTGTATAAGACATTGCCTTCTTCACGATAACACCAACATTCAAGAGAGAAAGAGCATTTCTTCAGAAACAACTGTGTTCTTCCTGCAAATTGGAAGTACGCAGGATTGTAGCGGCATATGTGCGGCGAAACTTGAAGTCTTCAAGGTGAGGTGCAACCTTAGACAAACTTGAAAAAAGAGATGAACCACCGATCGCAGTCTTGTCAACTGAAAAAGGTAAGGTGGGCGGGAGATGTAAGAGGACAAAACGTCTACTGAATATAAACCATTAACAGAGAACAGCAGCAAAAGCAAGGCAATTTTTTGATGGAGGAGGTTGAAACTTGACAACATTAATCGTCAACACCTTTTATCAGGGAAAACATTCCAACAATATATAAATCTTATATCTGAAAATGATCATCAAAGAAAAAAAAACTCCATATCATTTGACTCGACTCAAAAGTCAAAACACTTGACAAGAACAGTAATTAAATGAGTATCAACTAAGGAACTCAGTAAGAAACTTCCACCAGCACTCTTAAGGAAGTCCAAATGCAATATAGTAACATCACTCAAACAATCCATGTCAATTCCAAACTAGTTAGAGCCTGTGATACAAATCCTCTTTAACCATTCAGCTTTATTTGAGGCCATTGCATTCAAAATGCAAAATAGTTCCTTTAGTCACAGAAACATTTGCTTACATAACACCAAGGCAATCGAATCACATATTTAACCACTCCGCTCTATTCAAGGCCATCTCGTTCTAAACACGATACAGTAACATATCTCACAAAAACATTTGCTCAATGGGAACAGATAAAGGCAACTAAATCACACATTTAATCTAATTATTTATTTTACTTTCCTATGTACATTTTCCACGCAATCAAAAAGTGCTTTTGACTTCCAAAAAACAAGTCAATTCAGCCCACTTTATTGGCTTCATTAAACAAAAATGAAGAACTAGTCAACTAGACCTCATATACCTAGCACTAAAGTAAGCAAATCTTGCATTACTACTGTATATAAACTACACAAGGGAACAACAACAACAAACCTAGTGTAATCCCATAAAGTGGGATCTGGGGAGGGTAGAGTGTACTCAGACCTTACCCCTATCTTACGAAGGTAGAGAGGTTGTTTCCGATAGACCCCGGAACTCAATAATAATAGCATAAAATCTTTATGGTTAAAAGACGAATTCTCCCACGATTCTCCATTTTGAGTGATACAAATATTATTTGGACAATAGTTAGTATAATGTCTTGTTTATTAGTATAACTTTCATCCTTAGCCAAATCTTTCATTGTTTCAATAAAACCAAATGTATTTCTAACATTCCTTTAGTGAACCAATGCTCACCAATTTAATTGACTACACTATTTTATCCAACAACCAATTCGCTAAGAGATCGTTTGGTATGATGAATAAGCAAAAATAATCCCGGGACAAAAATTTAGTACTGTCTTATCTCTTGTTTGGTTACTAATCCCGGGATAAGTTATCTCAGGATTAAAAATAGTAATGGGATAACTTATACCTGCCAGAGGATGGAATACTAACCCTAGGGTAAGTTATTAAAGGATAAAGCAATAAAATTGACAATTCCAGTATTAATACAACATACCAAACAGTCAACGAGAAATAATATCAGTATAACTAATCCCAGCATAACTTGTCTTCAAACCAAACGACCCCTAAGAGTAACTGAATTTTGAGCTTTAAGCCAAGCTGGTCGGGAAAAAACTAATTTTTGGGGAAAACCCAACAGCTCTAGAAACCCAAGAACTTAATATCAAACAAAAAACACTTAACTACTTAAGTTACATAACTTGTTCAGCTTTTATTACAATTTTTGGCTAACAATTCAATAAGTAATATCTGATATGCTAAACCACAAGCTTGTGTACAAAAAAAATGAGAAAGAAATTGGAAAACCAACAAAGTGAAAGTATAGGAAAGCAATAAGCCATGTTTGTACCTGCAGTGTTTCTTGTGGAGTTGTGGTTGAGTATTTGGAATTGGTTTCGGACTTGAAAAACAGAGGAGAGGGATTATTTTGGGGGCCAAACTATGAATATACTAAGGATTAACGAGGTTAGTTATAAAGTAGGATAGTGGGACGTTAATAACTAGGGTTGAAGTTTGTAGAAATTTGCACATTGACTCCTCTTTCCGACTCAATAAGAACTTTGGTACCTAAAAGGTAAAAAGTAAAAAGTAAATAAGCTTGAAGGACATGAAAGAAATGAGTAAAAATTACTCCACTCGTATCAAATTATTTGTCGTGTTTTTCTTTTATATCCCTTAATAAAATATTAATTAGGAGGAGTTTTGGACTGTTTTACCTTATTTATGTCTTAAGATATAATTCTTTTTCATTGAATATTTACCATATTTAAGTATTATCTCCATCTTCAAACACACTTATTATTAGGGGTAAAATATAAAAAATATAATTAATTTTATCTTGAACTTCTAAAATGAGAAATAATTTGAGACAATTATTTTTAGAAATAACGACAGATAATTTGAGACGAAGGGAATATATTTTTTCTTTACTTTTAACTATAAAACTTACATTGGTAAATGATGGCATTCTAAAGAGGATTAAATTCTTTCACCTCATATTTTCTTTTTTGACTTTTCTCACCTCATATTTAAACACTAAAAAAAATAGTACTTTAAATACAAGGGAAGTCTATGTAAAATGATTTTGATAATATAACTTTAAAAATGTGTTCAAGAATAAGAATAATATCTATTTTCTATAGCATCAGTAAGTTTCCATGCTTGAGAACTCAGAAGTAATTCATCAAAATGCTTAAATATGGAATATACTTTATTTAATTTACATGCTATAAGAATCATTCTTTTTAAGAAAAATGGTCAAAAATGCCCCTAACGTATTGAAAATGGCTCAAAAATATCCTCCGTTAATCTTCTGGTCCGCAAATGCCCTTAACGTGTATTTTTGGGCTCAGACTTACACTTATATCTAACAGAAGGGCCAACAATACCTCTAACGTATTGAAAATGGCTCAGAAATACTCTCCGTTAACCTTTTGGTCCGCAAATGATTAACAATCTCTGGTAGGTCTTTGCACTACTAGGTGCCTAGGTGATTGAGATTTGAGAAAAGTGCACAAAGCATTCCATATTCAGGTCCAAAAAAAGGACTGCACCCCAATAGATAATAACATAAACAGCCTATTAGTGGTTCTTTCACGACTTAGAACAAAAATATTGCCTTTTCAAGTTTCCCTTCGTGAATTTTTAAGCTTTATGTATTTCTTCTTCATGAAATTTTAAAGTTTTTCATTTGTTGTGTAAATTATATTTAGAGAATTTAGCCCCAAATTTAATTTCAACAACTCTTATTATGAGTACTTCTTTCCAGTTTAACATTGGAAAAATATGGCTTATTCGGTATAAAGAGCAAATCAAATAAAAATGTACGTTCAATATAACGATTGTGAAACCGATAACGTCGTATACAAGTGAATGTACACTAGATGAGTTCATAGAAAGCTAATGGTGATATTAAGTCTAACCATAAAAGATTAAAGATGATCATATATATTAGACATAAGTGCAAGTAGATAAATTCTGAAAAGGTTCAACTCTTGTTCAACACAAACGATAATGAAGTAGACCTACAATTACATGGACGAAAGTTGTCTTAAAATGCCTGCAAACTTTCAAAATCTACGCAAATTTAACAAATAACATAACAAAATGGAAGTAAAGGAACCACCAACTAAGATTAAAACTTAGTCATCGTCAGTAATGAAAGTATAAAACTGCAAATATCTTGTGAACGAACCAAAGTTTCTAAACCGCCACTAGTTTCTCCTTCCACAAATTTATCATTGAAAAGAATCCACATCCAGAACTCTTCTAGTGCTCTTAAAAAGAGGAAAGAAATACATTAACCAGCAACTGACAGATATAGCATTGTGAATAACAAATTGCAGAGGTTGAAATAGTATTTCTGTATCCCGGGACTGTCATTTGTCCCTGCTTTTCCAGACAGTGACAATGGTGAAGAAATTGATTTTAGGACACATTTAAAATAAATCTCAAGTATCTTGCTGCTTGAGCCATTATCATGGTTGGTCCTCACTAGTGCAATACACTCTTCTTTACTAGCTTTGGTTTCTTATGCGATCGGTTCTGCCACAAGATCCAACATCCAAAACAAGTAGTTAGTTAATGCTAAAAAGGACAGCCCGGTGCACTAAGCTCCCGCTATGCGCAGGGTCCGGGGAAAGGCCGAACCACAAGGGTCTATTGTACGCAGCCTTACTCTGTATTTCTGCAAGAGGTTGTTTCCACGGCTCGAACCTGTGACCTCCTGATCACATGGCAGCAACTTTACTAGTTACGCCAAGGCTCCCCTTCAAATAGTAGTCAGTTAATGCTATTTTTGATAATTAGAAGTCAGTTAATGCCAAGTATCAAGATGTAATATCATATAAGTAGGCCAATCACCATGCAAAAATCCTCACCTTTGAACTTTCCAGAGCTTCGTAGTCAATCCTCTCTTGCCACTTACTCTTGAGAAGTATAATCGGCCGGTTTCCGACATACTTCCCTGAAATCAACATGAAATACCACCTCATTAGGCATCTTGGTATAATATTATCATTACCAGTTCAATAACCAAAACAACTGCCACTTATAGACATTTCATGTACTCCTCACTTTGCAAACCCCAAAAAAAAACCAGACTGCTGATATTCTCTCATACAAGTTTGGTTAATGTTGTCCTTTTCCTTACTGATTTTTTCTTTTCCTACACTGACTTCAAAAAGCAGTCCTAAATGTTGTTTCCAGTAGAGTACTGTTACTTGTTTCCTTCACTATTCCTTCTTTTTCGTATAGAGAAAACAGGGTAGGGGAGTACACATTCAAATACAAAAACCAGGGGCATAATAGAGTGCACTCTTTCTATCAACGCTAAACATTTGATGTAAAGACATCAAAGAAGCGGGGACCAAAGAAACCCATACATGGCATCAACCAAACGGTATATCAAGGAAAATATTAGATCCAGCTAAAGACTACCATCCATACCATTTATGAGTGATGGTCTTCAAGAAGGTAAAAGCTGATTATCTAACTGTGACAGACCCACTTTATCAAGTTGTGTCATCACTTAATATATTTTATGCTGGTTCCCACAAGCACGATAAGAGATTACACATTCAAATATCGATTTAACAGATAACTTACCATTCATTTCTTTAAATGCTGCGGCAAGGTCTAATGGGTTGGAAAAACTCACAAATCCATATCCCTTGGTCTTACCAGTCCGCTTGTCTCTCACAACCTGTCAACATGCATTATAGAAACCCTTGGTTACTGAACCTTATAAGCTACAACATACAATTATACAATAAAGTTTGGAGAGAGCGAGGCAATAAGATACTTTTTATTCCTATTCATTATTTCAGGTCAACGCAGAAAGAATGAAGTTAGTAATAACATCAGCACGATGGATGCTACACTTCTTTATAACACATAACTACTGCACTTTTGGGCAATAAACAAATTACAATTAGACTGTGTATCGCCACCACTCCTATCTTCTCAATTAGATGCCACCAATGTAGAATCTCCTCAATTAGACTATGTCAAAGGACGAGGTAAGGTATCACCACCACTAATATCTACTCAATTAGATGCCACCAATCTAGTATCTCCTCAATTAGATGCTCACTGCTTTTGACATCCAAAAAAATGGCAATATCTCATATCATCACCCTTTTTATTGGCTTGTGTTCTTCTGTTTACGCAAATACAAACAGGTGCACGTGCAGAACTAAGTTAACATGCATGTCTGCAATGGACCCCACCAAAAAGAAAAGGGAAAAGAAACACACATACGGACCCAAACATACAACCTGAGGATTACAATTTGTGATCCCACAATGATACTAATATGTTCTCTTTATTTTCAATTTTTGAAAGTTACTGAACTCCAATTTTAAAGCAGTAAAAAGTGAAGAGAAGTCTCTCTCAAAACTAGATGCATGCATAGTTGCATACCACTATCTATGTACCCAAACTATGAATAGATGTTGATGCATTTAGAAGGAAATTTAGATTTCTGAAGATTCATGAATATTCAGGATGCAGAAATATGACATCAAAAAGACAGAAAAAATTTAAACTTCTAGGTGACAAAAATCTCTCCCTTCATGACCAGAAATACTAGTGCTCATGTATACAATCAAAAACATAAAAATGTAAAATTATTGGAAAACATAAACGATCTAACAGAACATACCTTAGCCGTGTTAAAGGTTGGAAACCTTGAAAAGGTTTTTGATAGGACATCATCATTCACCTCATTCCCAAGATTACCACAGAATAGACAATAATCATCTGTGACACCATCCAACTTAGTTATTCCACTATACTAGGATTTGCACCAAATCTAACAGCAAAATGCACAAGAAACCATGGGAAAACAGGTGCAAACATCCATAACAAAAGGATTACTTTGCAGGTTTGTCTCCTGCACATTCTTTTCTCTAAATACACTCCCAAATTGCTTTACAATGCAACAAATATTAGGCCTGCTTCAATCCCCTCTATTCTAGCATCAAGACAATCACTAGCTATCATCGTTGCGTCTGTCTCCCTCAAATGAAGGCATTCCCATTGCCTGAAATCATAGCCTAAGATTTACTTAAACCTTTCTGTTAGAGTTTTGCAATAATTTTAAGCACTTTACACTAGGCTAACAGATCTGAAGTCTTTGACTTCTGCCCAAAATTCCAGACTGTAAAATTTTTGGGTCGCTTTGAACCAAACTCACAATGCCAAAACCCTTCAGCACAAGGTACTATCCAGTTCAATTGATGCCTAAAATTATTAAAGAGAACCAGCGTAACCCCCACAAAAAACCAGATGAATAAATAAACAGATTTGAATAACATGAGGCACAACCAGTCAAGGAAAAAAAAAGGAAATTAGGCTTACTCTCTTGCCACTCTGCCAAAGTAGGATCTTCCCAACTTTGTCCTGCTGCCTTACGAGGTACAGCTTTCTTCTTGGCCTCAGCTTTGTGCTCCATTTCG